ATGGTGGTCAGAAAGAAGAAGGGGCTGCGGCGAAGCAGCAGGAACAAGCCGATCAATGATTCGACATTTCCTCGCGTGCTGGTGCTGACCTTTTATTTCTTGGTTGTGTTTTCGGTGTTCCTGGTCTCGAATTCTGTCAGGCAATCGACGTCGCTGTCCCAGGGGGCAGCGATCATCGACAACGTTCATTTTCTCGATGGTCCGTCCCTCAGAAACGCGTTCTGGACGACGCGGGTCGGTGGCAACAGCAACGGCAACAGCAACAGCACCGGCAACGAGAGGGTCCTCGGGTCGTCGCCCTCGATCGCCGTGTCACACACCACGCCAGAAACACCTGCGGAAAACGAATCCAAAACTAAATCGCCCTCGATCGCCGTGTCACACACCACGCCAGAAACACCTCCGGAAAACAAATCCAAAACTAAATCCTTGGTGGTAAGCTCGGCGAGTGTGGCAACCATTTTAAGCAGGAATCAAGACAACAAGAACAACGACAACGACAACAACAACAACAAGAAAAACAAAAACTCGCAGAACGTCAGCCTCGAATACTCCTGGAGCTTTGACCAAACCCGATCCAGCGCGGACAAGGGCAGGCGCATCCCCAGCAAKCAGGCCATGGACCACTACAACGCCCTTCGGTCCACCGAGGCGGCGAAGGAACCGGACGGAGACAATTACATTGTCTACCGGGCCTGCTGCGGCCTCGGGCACAGGCTTCTCCGGAACGCCGCCGCGGTCCGCTACGCCAGGGAAAAGAAGGCCAGGTTTTTGTGGGTGGAGTGGACGAAAAAAGAGCACGKAATGTATCCCAAAACGGCCTGTGGCTTTGAGAGGCGCGAGGTGGGGTACCTCGACCTTTCCGAGTACTTCTTTGGGCCCGGCCCGATCGTGCTCTTGAACGAGACCGAGGACGAGGCCTACGAGAACAAATACCTCCCGCTTCCCAAWACCTACGACCCCAAGGTGCTGGAGACACGGAGGTTTTACGACGCCTGGCAAAAGAAACACAGCCGGAAGAAACCCGACCTGTGCCTCAACGGGGCCTCGAATTACACCGCAAGATGCTTCGGAYGGCAAAACCACCGTGCCGCGGGAAAGGAGGACGAGCGGTACTGGCGGCAGATTCGGTCCCTCTACCGCTTCAACCACCGGGCGAGGTCCTTTGCGGAGCACAACCGGTTCTCGGAGCGGATCGTCCTGGGGGTCCACTTCCGGGTCGGGAACAACGAGACGGGGGACTTCTCCCAAAAGGGCCGGGGGATGGCGGGCGTAAGCCTCGATAGCTACATCGAAAACCTCTCAAGGACACTCGAGCAGATGGCCGCCAGGATACGAGAGGCCCAGAAGCAATCGGGGGCCCACGAGAGCGGCGGCAACGATCTCCACAAGCTGCCCCCACTGGTCTTTGTGGCCACCGACGACGTGTCGGTCCTCCCGTTGCTGGAGGAGGCCGTGAAACCCCACGGCATGGTCGCGGTGAGCCTCCCCCAGATCCGACTGCCCAAGGGGACGGGGGTCAGCTACGGAGCGAGTTGGGACACMATCGAGGAGTGCAGGGAGGGCTGGAACGCTCAGATCCTCGACATGGTCCTGGTGGGGGCCGCCGATGCGGTAATCGCCACCCGGTACTCCTCCTTTACAATGGCCATTCCCCTCATGGCGGTCTTCTCGGACTCGCTGCGGGGCCRGGTCCCAGAGGGAAGCACRCCCGAAATCGAGGCCCGAAAGATCGAGGAGAGGGACCTGCTCGGTTCTGTTTCCCGCGACGAGCCGGGAAAGGTCCGCAATGCTTCGGTGCGGTTCGCCCACCGCCTCTTCTGCGAGACCTCGAAGAAAGGGGACGCGGTCAGGTGCTACGACGACTACCAGGACTGGGCGAAGCACGAGAACGGGTTGTTCGTGCCGTCGSAAGAGGTGTTCCATGCCGCAGATAACATGATCGTCTTTAGAAAAACCGTTATGGGAAGGTGCCCGTGATGGCTGGAGACACGAATATTTGGGTTTGGGTTTTTATGCCGAAGCCGGACGCCATGCATTTTTCCCCGATTGTACCGTGCGTGCATCACATTACGAATTAGAATGAAATAAGAACTAATGACATCCGTTTGATAGAAGTTACGAATCGCCATGAATGAAGCAACATTGCGACGAACCGGACGTAAAAAGGAGCGAACAAGGGTTGTATAATTGGTGCACTACACCGGAGAAACCATCTAACATCGAAGACGAATTGTCGCGATGTGAAYGTACAATTTGTACTAAAGTCTGTGGAATGCTTCCGTCCAGACCAAAATGCGTAGGTGTGTACCAAAAAGGTTCAATAGCTGGAGAAATTAGTAAACGGCTTCCGTATGAGTGATCAAATAACAATTTACTTTACTTCTAGGTTTTTGCTAAGAATAAAAGAGTATTCCCTTTCGCGCGAATACTCAACTGACGACTTCTAGATGAAGCTGTCAAGTCTACATCGCTATCGAGGTGAAGACAGCCGCCATCCATGCTTTCACGGTAAGCATGAAAAGAGACGTATCCAATAACGAAGATTTAGTGGTGAAACTCGCCGGCACGTGCTACATGAGATTGCTCGGATCGACGGTTATGGCGGTCTGATTCTATGGTGGTGCATAAAGAAATATTTTCAGAACGAGAGCGAGTGAATAGATTCCATCGAATTCAATTCAAATCGAATCAATCCCATCGTCGGTCGTTCATCCATTCATTTGTTGCAAAGCCAGTCTTTAGGATGAGGATCCGGAGGAGGAAGAAGAAGAA